ATCTATATACAGACATGTCACATGACCCTCCTAATACCTTCTATATACAGACATGTCACATGACCCCTCCTAATACCATCTATATACAGACATGTCACACGACCCTACTAATACCATCTATATACAGACAGGTCACACAACCCTCCTAATACCATCTATATACAGACATGTCACATGACCCTCCTAATACCATCTATATACAGACATGTCACACAACCCTCCTAATACCATCTATATACAGACATGTCACATGACCCTCCTAATACCATCTATATACAGACATGTCACATGACCCCTCCTAATACCATCTATATACAGACATGTCACACGACCCTACTAATACCATCTATATACAGACAGGTCACACAACCCTCCTAATACCATCTATATACAGACATGTCACATGACCCTCCTAATACCATCTATATACAGACAGATTACACGACCCTCCTAATACCATCTATATACAGACATGTCACACAACCATCCTCATACCATCTATATACAGACATGTCACACGACCCTACTAATACCATCTATATACAGACAGGTCACACAATCCCTCCTAATACCATCTATATACAGACAGGTTACACTACCCTCCTAATACCATCTATATACAGACATGTCACATGACCCTCCTAATACCATCTATATACAGACATGTCACATAACCCTCCTAATACCATCTATATACAGACATGTCACATGACCCTCCTAATACCATCTATATACAGACATGTCACATACCCTCCTAATACCATCTATATACAGACATGTCACATGACCCTCCTAATACCATCTATATACAGACAGGTCACATGACCCTCCTAATACCATCTATAAACAGACAGGTTACACTACCCTCCTAATACCATCTATATACAGACATGTCACATGACCCTCCTAATACCATCTATATACAGACAGATTACACTACCCTCCTAATACCATCTATATACAGACATGTCACATGACCCTCCTAATACCACCTCTATACAGACATGTCACATACCCTCCTAATACCATCTATATACAGACATGTCACATGACCCTCCTAATACCATCTATATACAGACAGGTCACATGACCCTCCTAATACCATCTATATACAGACATGTCACATGACCCTACTAATACCATCTATATACAGACAGGTCACATGACCCTCCTAATACCATCTATATACAGACATGTCACATGACCCTCCTAATACCATCTATATACAGACAGGTCACATGACCCTCCTAATACCATCTATATACAGACATGTCACATGACCCTACTAATACCATCTATATACAGACATGTCACATGACCCTCCTGATACCATCTATATACAGACATGTCACATGACCCTCCTAATACCATCTATAAACAGACAGGTCACACAATCCCCCCTAATACCATCTATAAACAGACAGGTCACACAATCCCTCCTAATACCATCTATATACAGACAGGTCACATGACCCTCCTAATACCATCTATAAACAAACAGGTCACACAATCCCTCCTCATACCATCTATATACAGACAGGTCACATGACCCTCCTAATACCATCTATAAACAGACAGGTCACACAATCCTCCTAATACCATCTATAAACAGACATGTCACATGACCCTCCTAATACCATCTATATACAGACATGTCACATGACCCCTGCTAATACCATCTATATACAGACATGTCACATGACCCTCCTAATACCATCTATATACAGACATGTCACATGACCCTCCTAATACCATCTATATACAGACATGTCACATGACCCTCCTAATACCATCTATATACAGACAGGTCACACAATCCCTCCTAATACCATCTATATACAGACAGGTTACACTACCCTCCTAATACCATCTATATACAGACATGTCACATGACCCTCCTAATACCATCTATATACAGACATGTCACATGACCCTCCTAATACCATCTATATACAGACATGTCACATGACCCTCCTAATACCATCTATATACAGACATGTCACATGACCCTCCTAATACCATCTATATACAGACATGTCACACGATCCCTCCTAATACCATCTATATACAGACAGGTTACACTACCCTCCTAATACCATCTATATACAGACATGTCACATGACCCTCCTAATACCATCTATATACAGACATGTCACATGACCCTCCTAATACCATCTATATACAGACATGTCACATGACCCTCCTAATACCTTCTATATACAGACAGGTCACACAATCCCTCCTAATACCATCTATATACAGACATGTCACATGACCCTCCTAATACCATCTAAATACAGACATGTCACATGACCCCTGCTAATACCATCTATATACAGACATGTCACACGACCCTACTAATACCATCTATATACAGACATGTCACACGGCCCTCCTAATACCATCTATAAACAGACAGGTCACACAATCCCTCCTAATACCATCTATATACAGACATGTCACATGACCCCTCCTAATACCATCTATATACAGACAGGTCACATGACCCTCCTAATACCATCTATATACAGACATGTCACATGACCCTCCTAATACCATCTATATACAGACATGTCACATGACCCTCCTAATACCATCTATATACAGACATGTCACATGACCCTCCTAATACCATCTATATACAGACATGTCACACGACCCTCCTAATACCATCTATATACAGACATGTCACATGACCCTCCTAATACCATCTATATACAGACATGTCACATGACCCTCCTAATACCATCTATATACAGACAGGTTACACTACCCTCCTAATACCATCTATATACAGACATGTCACATGACTCCTGCTAATACCATCTATATACAGACATGTCACATGACCCTCCTAATACCATCTATAAACAGACAGGTCACACAATCCCTCCTAATACCATCTATATACAGACATGTCACATGACCCTCCTAATACCATCTATATACAGACATGTCACATGACCCCTGCTAATACCATCAGATAGAGTCATGTCACACAGATATATCACAGCATCTTGCCACCAGTTCTCATCATTCAGCCCAATCTTCATCAAGATGAATTAATATTTGCCACATCATAGTTTAGATCTATCATCAAGATTACCTGTCATGAGGATTTGTCCATTAGAAATGTTTTTGTCTTTGCTGCAAAACCATGTATGAACTACACATCCTTCATTCACTGACAAAACAACCACTCCCTGACCTCATGGCATCTTCTTGCAATACAATCTGGTTGGTTAATACCTTACTCTAGTAGATGATTATATTGCTTTGAAATAGTTAGTTACTACATTCATACAGAATTAAATCCTAATATACGGAAAGATAACTGTGCTATTTTCCTTGCTTTATATCACAGATGTTCAGTCATGACTAGTTTAGACCTTCAATCTAACCCAAATCTAGGATATCAATGTTGATTTATAGTTTAAATGAATTACATTTTTTGTTTAGAGTTAAAAAAAACCCCATTGTACTCAAGCTATTAATACAACTAATTGCTTTTTTCAGACAGTTCCATTATTTTATTTCTTTTTCCTGCTGATATTTGTTTTTCGCACAGTTTCCGGCTTTAATTCCGGCCTAATTATGTCCACAGTGACTTGACAACGATGACAAAGGGAGAGAAGCCGGCGCAAGGTAGATAGCAACTAGTGTCGCATATGGACGGCAAGATTTAATCATATGGTGCAGCCCAAGATCTCATCAGCGCAAATAGCCTGTAGTGAATTATCAGGCTCGGACTGGCCAAGGCTGTCAATTATGGAGCCCTATTCATTGCGACTGCCATTATTACGGACTCTATTAATCCCCCTCACAGCCCGAAGAGCTATCAATAAGACCCTGCGATATTACAAGGGCAAATCATAGTTAATCATGCACACAGATCATTCATTATATACAGAGGGTTTCACAGACAGGCTCCTCTGGCTTACCGCTACCACTATGATAATAACCAACACATGCCCATTTACGCTTTGTTTAGAAAAATAATGTTAGTTCAGCATCTAAGTCCTTATTATTTATTAATAGGCGTCTTTGTTGTATGAAAAATGTATTTCTGAAAGGTTGGAAGTATGTGTGATTTTGGCACGAGTCATTCATTCCATTAAAATGATTGATCTTTGAAATATGTGATGTGTTTACTCAGGTATTTGTGTTATTAAAGGAAGAATCAAGGAGCATTACTGTAATATGTTAATAGGGACCAAACCATGGAGCATGTGGAGGGCTGGCGTGTGACACTCTGTTTACATAAACTTGGTTAAAAGGGACTTCCATAGTCACTGCTAGTCCTTCAAACTGTGGAATAATATTTTCGCAAATGACACAAATGAGCTAAGTGAGCCCACATCTTTAATGCTCTCTAGTCATGTTTCCTTAACAAGATTCCAGGTGTATACAGGTAGCACACGACAAAGGCAATGTAATGGCAAAATTATCAGTTTCACTACAAACAGTATCACCTTTATTTCTTTGACGTTTTTGGTATTTTGTTCTGGGTAATTAAAATAATATGTCATACTTAGGAAACAAAACCATATTTAAATATTACATTTCATTTACTTCTATTTCAAATTACAAAAACTATTCTCTGCCAACTATCTTATATTAAGTATACATTCAATAATGATTAAACACTGCAAAGCTTGGAGGGTGAGTGTCTGTCTTAGTTACCTATTTCTTTCAAATCTGTTTGTTTCTTAACTGTCTATGTTGTGAAAGTAAGTCTAGTTTTTGTGTGGAAAACCAGTCAACTAGAATGCACACACTTTTTTCTCCTTCTTTACAACACAAAATAAACATTCTCAAGCACTCAACTGTACCACGATGCTGTCACATCCATTAAAAAAACAGCAGATGCACCAAAATAGAAAGTGATGATTTGAACAACTTTTTTTTGGTCATAGCAGAAAGTACAAACATCACGATATGTGTTTGTTGAACTAAGACAAAGAACAAGAGATGAAAAAATTAAAATCGTTAAAAATTACCGTGAGCTCTAATTCATCATTTGACTCATTCTTGACAGCGAAGGGCCACCATCCCTTGACCCTTTTGTGTTTGAAGAGTGACATTTGTGGTACACTTCCGTCAGTCTTAAGCATGTCTAACGAACACTGCTTTGCTGATTTTGCTCCTCGTGGAAAACGGTTCATGTCCAAAGTCAGGGAACCTGGATACAACAGAAAAAGGTTGACAGGCATAAAAAAAATGAAGATTGAAAGATATCATACTCCTGATTAATGGAATTTTAAAATCACTTTTTCACTAAATTTGTACCTTGAAGCAGTCACAAGCATCCATTTCATTTCATGATTAGCAAAAACACATTGGATGTCTAGTGGATGAATAAAGCTATTTGGCTGGAGTCGTTTTCTATGATTAAATGAAGACTCTATTGAAGACTCAGACACATTCCTAATTGTGGTAGCTAAACAGTATTTCTAAATTACAAATTGTGGTTGTTCCACACATACACACAGAGTCAGAAATCAGTTTGGTCTCTGTGAATGATTTCAGTAGGTCTTGCATTATAGAAGATTGATTGTGTGAAATGTAACAGACTGAAAAAAGGACTTTCATATAAATACAAATTTTGATGAGAAAACTGAAGTGACAGGTATGAATGAAATATGAACATTATATTTACTGTAACTATTTGCTTTATGTTTTGAGATGCCTGATTTGATTAATGGTTAAAACATCCACCCTCAAATCATGGTAGCACCGTACAGGGACTACACATTACTGTAATATGTCAAATAGATCAGAGAAAATAAATAACTTGATGTATATCGTTTATAGTGTGTTATTTGGGATATTTTATTCACTATTAATATTATTTTGATTATCACTGATTTATATACACGAGTTTAATTACTTAATTCACCATTTACTTCACACTATAATTGTTTCAGTCTATCCCACTGACTGTACATGTCTCTGACTAGTATGATGCCACCAGATGCCTGATTGGTGGTTATACTTATATTTGAACAGGATGGCTAGTTTCTGAAACTACATTGGAATAACAGCATTGAGAAATTTTACCTAGAAAATCATCAGCTGAGAAGTGGTCGGCATCCCAGACCTGCAGATTGAGTCTGGCAGGTATCTTAGACTCTGTCTCATCCCAGGAAAACAATGTCTCTTTCCGTGAGATGACAATTTTCTCCTCAGCAACCAGGTAGTCAAAGGGGAACACAAACCTCCAGTTGAAGTTGCCCTCACCTGTCAGAGATCTGGAAAACAAACACTGAGTATTAGAGGAAAGGTGTATATATAGTTTCATTCAAAGTAACATTGTTACACATCATAGCAACACAGCCTGCATGGAGGATATGGTGATCAGCATATATATTTAACTGATATCTTGACACAGAGGATACGGATATACCACGGACATAGGTACAAGTGTACATCATGACATGGAGGATATACATATATCACTGACCTAGGTAGATAATGGTACAAGTGTATATCATGACATGGAGGATATACATATATCACTGACCTAGGTAGATAATGGTACAAGTGTATATCATGACATGGAGGATATACATATATCACTGACCTAGGTAGATAATGAAATTAGACATTTTCCCTGTTCTTTCAAGCAACTGCATATTATCAGTCATTGGTAGCCACAGTTGATGGCAATAATTTTCCAAGGGTTATCCAACATTAAGCTTACAAACTACAGTTTGCCATTGCGATACATTGAAAGGATTATTCATCATTAACATTTATTTGGTTTCAGGTAAATACTTGCAGCAATCTACACAGACCAAAGGGAACGCTAGCTTACAGTAATGTCCAAAACATCCCATAGCAGGACTTGTATGAGATACAGCTTAAACAGACTGACTTTGCAGGGAAAAACTCCTGCTGGCGTGTTCATGTTTACAGCATATATCATCTCAGACAAGACAGGCTAGGGAGAGGCATGGTAATCCACTCATTGTGCCGGTCTTATCCCCACAGCCAAACACTTTAGAAATTTCATGGAACATTTGCTGAAACAGCTGACAGGCCAAGAGACAAATCACATGCTGAGAGTGATACAAGGATTGTCATGAGAAAAATCTATGACAAAAAAGTGTGTTGGATCCAATGTATGATACAGGTTTCCAAACACGCTCATTATTTCACAATGATGGCACACTCTCCCTGTGTGGTGGAGCCTCGAAATGAGGTATACCGCTTTAAACATGCTCTGTTTGTTCTTAAATCAGCTTCAGTAAATACTTACAAAGTAAAGTTCATATAACATATGGTGCAGGTATAAATATTTAAAGACAAACATTTACCATTAAATTTGCTTTGGAATGTTAACAAGATAATTCACATTTCAGGACAAAAAAAATATTTTCCAACAAAAAACATTACAATTGTCATTTTTCAAAGCATACAACAAATATAATTAAAATGTGAAAATATGTTTTATATAGATATAGATAAGTTAATACATGTACCTTAAACCAAAGTGTTTGATTTTGATAACGAAAAACATTACTTACTTCACTGTATTAAATACACTCGAGAAAGAAATATACTATTTGAAAAACTATCCAGACAAAATGTAAATGTAAATGTCCACAGTCATGAAGACAAATTATTTCAATACATCCTGTCAAATAATGAAGCAGTCAATATCAACTGCATTTGTTTCCACATCTATAATTTCAAACAATAAATACCCCCTCACAATCAACCGTTGACATTTTATGTATAAAAATATGTAATATTGATTATTTTGTTTTTGTATGTGTCTACAGGAATGTAAATTATGTTTGTCTGTATATATGTATATATAAATCATAATGTCTTGTCTTTTAAAATTGCATCTGTCCCGTAATGGAACGTTTCTGCAATAAATATTATCTTATCTTATCTTTAAATATTCTGAAAATTTCATCAGGTTAGAAAATAAAACACAAAAACATGAAATCTACAGCCACATAAAAATTGACTATTTCATTGTCAAGTAATCATCTTAAGAATGTCTGCTGTGCATTCTAGTAATCAATCCAAATACCATACTTTTTCACATCACATTCATCTGAATTCTCTAGTTCTAATTCAAACCTTTTCATACATAAAACCAGCCATATTGAAACATATGTTTGCATTATTTACAGCAGCGTGCTTTTCTGTTACTTAATAAGGCCCAACAATTTATAAGAAGGATAATACAACTGAACAATCTGCTGGCCTATTTTGTCTCGTCTCCACGTGGTTCTAGCTTTGTTTACCTCCACATCAAAGAGCGATGAAGAGTTGCAATTGAGATTCTCCCTCCGCCCATGTATACAACTTACGCAGGGGGTAACACAAGACGGATGTGTTTCTCTCGCGTCTTTTGATTCAGATTCAGTCAATAAAGCACCATGACATGATACCAAACAACAACAGAAACATTTGTCCCAAGTGCCACATGATATTGGTATAGACTTTTTGCACAATGACTTGCATGGTGGATGTTGTAACATATAGTCGATTCGTTTCTTTAACTTGAAAGGCATCATTTGATATGTGTTGAACATCATTAATACAAAAGGGTTTTTAAATTGTCTAATAGTTCTGACATTTTACAATTTGATTTTTTTGTCAATACAGCAAATCAAACAAGGAAGTTACTAACATACCACAACAGTCTGTACATATTTGATTTGATCAATGGATGATAGTCTTTCATCACATACATATGGCAGAATTATGTATGGGAAATCAAGACGCTTTTTATGTAATTTGTCAATCTCTCAGTTACAAGATTTATGAATAGCACTATCATATCCTATAAAGTGCACTTATATAAGATCGGGAAATGAACATTTCTAGAGGCAAATGTCATCCTAAATGGCACAATAAAATCTCAGGATGATAAAATGCAGGGCAGATTAACTGCAGATATTCCAAAATCAATGATGATTGTCACACAAATAGTTCTGCAATCAAAATGTCCAAGAGAAAGGAAAGCTGGAAATTAAAATGGAAATGAAAATCACATCTAAATAGGTCAGGCTGACCATTAAAGCAGACCAAGATCACCTACATAATGTATTCAAACAAAATCAGATATCATTAACAAGCAACATATCTCAAAAGACCAAAAACATCTAAATGGTGATTCCTAATCCAAGCATCTGACCTCTCTAGCTGTGTGAACAATGTCATCCATACACAAGGGCTGGTTTATTTGTAAATTTATCCCCAGTGGGAAATGGATGGCAGATGAAGTATGCATACTCGATAGAGGGGTGTAGTGGTTTCTCTGCACACCAACAATGTGAGTGAGTATGTTGGGTTTTACGCCGCTTTTAGCAATATGCCAGCAATATCTAAGTAGGGGACACAGAAAAGGTTGATGCCTCTAGCTAATTTAATGACCCCGCAATCATGTATACTAAAGGTCATCAAATTCCATTCATATATATGCCGCGATATAACTGGAATACTGTTAAAAGCGGCGTTAAACCAAACTCACTCACTCACTCATTCATATATACTCAAGTTATCATGTACACCAGCTTTTTAAAGCCTAGTGGAGTGACCTAGACCTTCAACATTATCCAATCATATGTCAGAAAAAGTATTCAGAGGTATAGAGGGGGGTATAAGTGGTAAGAAGTTTCTAACATCTGTAATAAGCTTGTGGTTGAGAAAAGCAATTGTGGCAGAGCTCAGATTCAAGAAAGCACAAAAGCAACCATCAGTGGAGGGGGCTGCTTAAGTATCAACATGAAGACATGAACTTTGTTTCCAGGGACATGTAATAGTGAATGGAGCTTTAGTTTCTAGTGACAGGTACCGAGATGAAGGAACTGTTGTTTCTAGGGTAAGGTACCAAGGTGAAGAAACTGTTGTTTCTATAGGGACAGATACCAATGTGAAGGAACTGTTGTTTCTATAGGGACAGATACCAATGTGAAGGAACTGTTGTTTCTATAGGGACAGGTATGTGAAGGAACTGTTGTTTCTAGGGACAGATACCAATGTGAAAGAACTGTTGTTTCTATAGGGACAGGTATGTGAAGGAACTGTTGTTTCTATAGGGACAGATACCAATGTGAAGGAACTGTTGTTTCTATAGGGACAGGTATGTGAAGGAACTGTTGTTTCTATAGGGACAGATACCAATGTGAAGGAACTGCTGTTTCTAGGGACAGATACCAATGTGAAGGAACTGTTGTTTCTAGGGACAGGTACCAATGTGAAGGAACTGTTGTTTCTAGAGGGATAGGTGTAAGAGTGTATGAAAACAAATCTCAGGTTTGAACTGTCCATATGAAATTCACAATTATAACAAACCAAATAATATTCACAATGAGCTGTAACTAACCAATGATGGCAAATTTCAGATCAACCTTTCTAGATCTTTGCATCACAGATTATGTTGACTTCCATCATGTAACAACCGTCAAGGCAATACAGGCCACTAAGGGATGACATCCCACTCCATTCACTTGACAGCAATATTTCAATAAATGTGGATGATATATAAGAGAAGATTAAAATCCACAAATCTCTTAATGTATTTTGTTAATGTAGCAGTTAATTTTCAAAATGTATATTTCTATTACCCCATGATGACTGGGGTCAAATGTGCCCACTGGGTACTATCATTTTATTTCATAAGATAAGATAGACTTTATTATCCCGAGGGAAAGTATTCTTGCATGTTAAATACCCCCTTCACAAGACAATATGTATAGTTGTATACTTTGTTTTGTTACTCCCATTTCATTACCCATTGATATAACAGTAATGTCGGAAAAATACATTGTAAAAGATTAAACAAAAAGACAATACCGGTACTTACAGTTGTCCATAATTTTATTATTTCAATGAAATGACTGTTATATGCGACATACAATAAGATAGCTTTAGAGATGGAGGCCAGATAACAACCAGGTATTGTTTTCAGGACATCAGGTTTCATTCTAAAACTCTAAAATAAATCCAATTATATATATTTTAAAAATCTGCAACTGAGCTAATTTGATAAACTGAGATGCTCTGGTTTGAGTTACACTACCATAAAAATAATTAATTGCAAAGTAGACAATAAATGTGACAATATAAAAGCAATAACTTTCTATCAAAGTTTTCTGGTAAAACTTATTTTCCCTGAATGTAAAAAAACCATACAAACCCTTTTTCTTCAGGCAAAAATATGTTTCTCTACCAAACACACCTCTTCATAAACAAAGATGTTTTCTACTTAACCCAACACAAGCTT